ATAATTCAGCCAGAGCTGTACAGCACTCACATTTCTGATTAAAAACAATACAAATATTCAAAAAAGTCCCATATTTTATATTTTTATTGTATTTTATTTTTTACCCCCAATGTCCACTTATAACCTTTGCATGGTTTTATGAACCAAAAACAGTCATAATTCATTTATAAATGACCCCTTTATCAACCTCTCAATATCCCTAACTCACTATAACTAAACAGGCTGGATTTGTTACTGTGCCTTTAAGACTGATATATGTAAATGATCTCTGTTCTCTGTTCTGATTGGCTGCGCTGTACTGTGCCTCGCTGAAACACTCCTTATAACTTCAGTGTGAAAGGGCGGAGCTAAACTGCTGTAGGCTGAATAGGTGACTGCCTTAAATCACCTTTGCCTTAAATTTGCATAATCGCTGGTGTCGGAACAAAACTTCACATCTCCAGTTTTGACGTTTTTCAGCTTTTGACAGAATCTGAAAGTATTTCTTGTCCTTTACATTGTGTATAGATTTCATGATGAATGGACCAAAAGAAACGAGCCAAAGTGACTTGGACAGACGTCTGGTTCCATTGACATACATTAAAAGTTAAGTAGGTTTTTCCTTCTCCTGTAAAGTTACCATTTTGGAGACGCTTGTTTTTCTTTGGACAGCGACGATATTCAAGTCGTCTGTTCTCCAACACGCATGAATGCACTGAATATCTTCTACTATCTTCTCCTCTGTGAGCCTCTAATTGTTCCTGTGTGCTACCAAACCTTTCAGTCAGTTAGCACACGTGCTACAGATGCTACGGTAACTTATACCAAAAGTCTGAGGACGTAACTAAGCCAGGTGAGACTTTTGAAAATGGTCAATTGGTCTGAATTGGTGTTTATGATCTACGCAGTGATTCGGTGATCTAAAAATACTGACCATACTCAGAACAGCATGCTGTGTTGTAATTCATCACGATATGGAGAGCATATTAAATATCTCACCTCTATCTATAACCAGTTTGTCTGCTGCTGAGAGCAGCTGGATTTTGGACACGTGCACTCGAGGTGAACTGAGGACACGCTGAAAAGATGATAATGTAGACTAGCCAGCTGTAATGACTCCCTGCCACTGCTGGACTCCACTTAAACCATTCAGTACAGACTTACGGCTATAAAAGACTCAAATAATGAAATATTTAACATATTAATTCATATGCAGTCTGTCTAAAGCCTAAATATACTGCCTGATGCTCAATACAGCAGCATTATTATGTAATGGCAATCATTTAAAGGGGAATTCTAACATCATGGTACACTCCACAGAAGTGGCGTCCAAGCTTTTTTCAAAGAGGGCCAGACTGTGCCGTGTTCAAATACCTGAGGGTCGACATGTTATTCACAAATGATTCATGCGACTGTGTTTCCTATCACTGTATAAAAGATGCACAAGGCTTATTTCATTGCTGGATTCATTCAGAGCAGTTTGGATTGATTATAATAAATAATTAATTTAATTATTTATTTATTATAAGCTAAGAGTAACGATACAATACACCTAATGTATCAATCATATTCCTATTTAAGTGTTTACTTGTTGAAAAGTATAACTTGTGAGACAAACTAAACAAAAATCTATAAATTTCTGGTTTTGTAATGTTTGGTAATGTTCTGTACATATCGAATAAACGCAGTGCAGCCATGTTACTGTTCAACCTTAAAGGGTTAATATTCACTGAACTGCTGAATTTGCTCATAGGAAGTTTTCCATCTCGCCAAAATCGTCAGTTCTCAGTGTTTAGTTTGAGCTTTTGAGTCTGTAGTCTTGACTAAATGTTGTTTACTAAATGAAGCTGCAGGTCTGGTCAGCTGCCACCAACAGGTGAAAGGAAGAACTGCAACGTACTGGCTGGTGGGCCACTTATAATACCCTGTAAAACAGAAGCTGGGGGCCAATTAAAATCTGTCTGTGGGCCGCATTCAGACTTTGGGCACCCCTGCTCTTACCAACCTGGATTCCTTTACAGTGGTGGTGATAGGAACCAGACGTCACCATGTCTACAACAAAAACATAGCCATTTTATTTACTATCTAAAACCAGCAGCGAACCTACACGAGTCTTCTGAGGTTTAAGATGTAATGTTGATGATGGTAAAACATACATTTTCTTTATATTAAAACATCCTGCATCTCTCAGCCATGAATGGACTAAAAAGCAAAATAAAGCTCCAAAATATTATTTCAAAACTATCATAAAACAATGTCCAGTATCAGACCATGTAACCATCACCATGTAATGATGCAATAGCTTTTAGAGCCATAAAACGCCTCAGACCTCTGGTTCCTATCAGCGCCACTGTGAACAGCTCTGACTCGGCAAGTCTAGAGTTCCTCTTGCATTTCACATTAAATCACTCTGACTTCGTTCACACTGTGATGTATTAACGATGCAGACGTTTAGAGAAAAGAGCACTGTTTCCTTTTCAGTTACAGTTTGGGTCATTTACACTATGTGGGCTTCAGAACTTCTGACTCAAACTCATACAGTAGCTATGTTACACACTTAAAGATGGTTCTTCAAAAGGTTCTTTAGTAAAGGCACTGTTTCTATTTGGAACCAGGAACCCTCTGTATGCCTAAATGGCTCTTTGAATGGTGAAATCGTTCTTCAGATTAATGGAGAATGTGGTTCTATGTAGAACCTTATTAAAAATGAAACCTTTTTGGTGCCTCTAGAACTATTTACATCACATTCTCCAATCTGAAGAACGATTTTACCATGCAGAGAACCATTTAAGCACAGTACAGTATAGCACAGTTCCCCTTTAAGTTTCAGTTGGGGTCATTTTGACTATGCGGGCTTTAGAACTTCTGACTAAAACTCATTTAGTTACAAACGTAAAGATGGTTCTTCAAAAAGGTTCTTTAGTAAAGGCACTGGTTCTATTTAGAACCATGAACCCTCAAAGAACCATTTGTATGCTTAAATGCTTCTTTGCGTGGTGAAATGGCTCTTCGGATTAATGGAGAATGTGTTTTATGTGGTTCTACGTAGAATCTTTTTGAAAATGGTTCTATGTAGCACCTTAATTGGTTTTGCTATATTTACGATGTCAAGCTTGTAACAGAAGAATCCTTTTGGTGCTTCTAGAACCATCCACAACACATTCTCCAATCTGAAGAACCATTTCACCATGCAGAGAACCATTTTAGCACAGTACAGTAGAGTACGGTTCCCCTTTAAGTTACAGTTTGCGTCATTTAGTGGGTGTTAGAACGTCATTATGTCTGCATTAGAACGTCTTACTATAACAACTTACATGGTAGCCAAGTTACACACTTAAAGATGGTTCTTCAAGGGTTCCTTCTTAAAGGCAATGGTTCTATTTAAACCCATGTTCAAAAAGGTTCTATATACAACCATATACAACACATTCTCTATCAATCTGTAGAACCATTCCACCATGCAAAGAACCATTTAAGCATGCCAATGGTTCTATATAGAACTTAATAGAACCACTGTCTTTACTAAAGAACCTCTGTGTGTGTGTCACGTGTCTGAGTCTGAACGTCACGTGTAGTTCAGCGGCTTTGTTTAAATACTGTATGTCGGTTCTCCGTTGCCTGCTTGCCAGCTCATTTAGACAGCTGAGGTTTCGAGGAGCTCGTATTTCGTTCTCCTGCAGACAGTCTTGGCTCCAAAACCGGCTCCGTCACATTAGTGTTAAATCTTACATAACATCTGGAAAACTGCTCAGATTCTCCCTCCAGCTGAGGCTTTTCAGGCGCAGCGCCCTGCCTTCATTTCAGCAGGGGGCAGATTATAAAGGCCTTTCAGCAAAGATGCTCAAATGGGCTTCTTATTCCAACTTTCAGATCCACCTTAAATGCTGCAGCAGTAACTCTGGTGCATAAACAGTGATAAGAACCAGAAGCAGTGTGACTGCTGCAGCATTTAAAGGGCAACTCCACCAATTTTTCAAAAATTCTACCTAATCAAATGGTTAAGGTGTCCACAGAGTCGTTCAGAGTGGTTTGGTGAGAAACACTCCGTTCTAGAAAAACTTGCCGAGTCAGAACTGTTCACAGTGGTGGTGATAGGAACCAGACGTCCACCTCTAAAAGCTCCCTCACAGAAAGTTACTACATGAAATGGTTATGAATTCACTGCCTGATGACTGAGACACTGTTTTATGATAGTTCTGTGATAAAGCTTTGGTTTAAAATGTATTTTAATCCATTTAATTTAATCCATTCATGAAGGAGGAGTGCATGGACAGTAAATAAGATGGCTGTATTTGTGTTGGAGTCGTGACGTCTGGTTCCTATCACCACCACTGTAAGACATCTGAGTCTCTGAAATGAACCAAATGAACCATTTCACACCAAACCACTGTGAATCACTCCGTTTACATCTCAAGGACTGAATTATTCAGAAATTTTGATAAAATGGTGGAATTCCCCTTTCAGGTCAAACGGAAAATTCGAGTAAGAAGCAAACTTAAGCCTTCCTGACTGGATTAGACACGTTACTGAATATTTAACCTCCTTTTTAAGGACAATAACTATAAAAACAAACCGAAAATACCGTGATAGTGCCCCGAAGAGTCGCTTCCTGCACCGGCTGATGGAAAATCACCAGCCGGGCACTTCCCTAGCTAATCCGCTAGCCGGTGCTAAAAAGCTAAATTAAGTTTATTTTCTGTCTCCAGCATCGACCTGCAGCTCCATTGATTCTTCAAGTGATAAATGTGGACTTTTCTGGCCTCCAAGACCTAAAATTCTAACATCTAGTCCGGAGTTGCCCGTGCTGGAGGTCCCCTTAGGTAGCCCGGGGCTGCTGGTGGTGGAAGCCGAACGAAGAGGCGCCCATGCGGGCAGCAACTGTCGCTTCGCTCCGCTACAGCAGCCTGGACATTAAGACCGAATTAAGCCTGGAGGATGTGAAATAACCCACCGGCCTGATGCACGAAGCCCAGACAGAGCTTATCTACGTGTTCGTACGATATAAAATGCTCTCAGGTTACCGTGAATGAGTGTTGAGTGGGTGATGATCCTCCCGGTCCAGCCGCTGAATGAGAGTCCAACGTGGCTGTGTATGTGTCAGGCTGCACGCAGCGCTGCACGGGGCTTTTATAAGCGGCCGCTGTTGCATCATCTGTAAAACCCTCTTCACTCAGTGGGACCTGATGAAACAGACATATGTGAAGACTGACTCATTTACAGTGTATTTTGTGGGCCTAGAACTAAAAATACTCACCATAACTTGCCATAGCATGTGCTTTATGCTATTCATACTTATAAGCTAAAACAGATTACGTCTGAATCTGTTAGCAGATGCTTTTTTTTAGGCTAATTTTGGCTTTATTGCACAAAACAATGTTCATCAAATGGCTTTAGTACAAAAATGTTAATTAAAGTCATCACATGCCATTTTATTGATGATTAAAGCCATTTTTGATTATCAAATAAAGATATGATGTAGTAAAAATTATTGTGTTTTTAGGGCCCTATACTTTGATGTATAGTGTTTTGGGGGCCCTATACTTTGTTGTATAGTGTTTTAGGGGCTCTATATTTTGTTGTATAGTGTTTTAGGGGCTCTATATTTTGTTGTATAGTGTTCTTAGGGCCCTATATTTTGTTGTATAGTGTTTTAGGGGCCTATATTTTGTTGTATAGTGTTTTTGAGGCCCTATATTTTGTTGTATAGTGTTCTTAGGGCCCTATATTTTGTTGTATAGTGTTTTTGGGGCTCTATATTTTGTTGTATAGTGTTTTTGGGGCCCTATATTTTGTTGTATAGTGTTTTTGAGGCCCCATATTTTGTTGTATAGTGTTTTTGGGGCTCTATATTTTGTTGTATAGTGTTTTTGGGGCCCTATATTTTGTTGTATAGTGTTTTTGAGGCCCCATATTTTGTTGTATAGTGTTTTTGGGGCCCTATATTTTGTTGTATAGTGTTTTTGAGGCCCCATATTATGTTGTATAGTGTTTTTTAAGGCCCCATATTTTGTTGTATAGTGTTTTTGAGGCCCCATATTTTGTTGTATAGTGTTTTTGAGGCCCCATATTTTGTTGTATAGTGTTTTGGGGCCCTATATTTTGTTGTATAGTGTTTTTGGGGCCGTGTACTTTGTTGTATAGTGTTTTTGGGGCTCTATATTTTGTTATATAGTGTTTTTGGGCCCCTGAATTTCAGTGTTGTGCTTTTATAAAGCACAGAGGTGGAAACGTCAAAATTTGGGATTGTCAGTGACCTATTCATAATCATGAACGCAGAAGTCTACAAAGGAAATAAAGTTGCAAAGAAATAACATCTGAAACAAAGAAATAACATCTGAAACTCTGAAACAAAGAAATAACATCTGAAACCAGCTGCCTTTTGAAAGAATAGTTTGCTTAAAAGTAAATGATGGTTTTGGAATGGTCTGTTTAGTAAAATCATTGGTTTGAAGTTTTGTTTCCCAACACAGTAAACCTAATACATTTAATTTGGCAAGTACGACACAAATGTCCAAATACATTTTGGGAGCTACAGTAGATCTAATAATCAAATAAAATGTTCACCATCAAATGAAACTTTAGAGCTGCACTTGATCAGTTTCGGGGGTTTGGAGACCTCTCTGGTGGAAATGTGTAATTGCACGCAGCATGCGGAAAATTATGTAATGTGGGTTGAGCTTCGGATCCCTTCTCCAAGCAGATGAATCTGATGACTGAAAGAGAATTCAAAGAGAAATTAGTCTAAACTTGGTGAAGGAGCGTCTTCTGAGGATGTGAGTGAATTATCTACTGTTGTCTTCACATCTTCATCAGTATGATGTTGGTTTTGAGATCATTTGAGACCTAAACACCGAGCTGAATCTTAATATTAATACGTAAAGACGTACGACGTGGTGTAAATACTCCTGACCCAACAACTCTGACATTTAAATGGTTATTTCAGGTTTTACAGGACAACACGCAGCAGCGCACGCTCACCATATTTTAGCGTGTTTTTATTCTCCTCACTCAGTAATGACGCTTCTTTCAGTTTTAACAAAAAACTACACAGTGCAGATGTTTATCATTATTCAACAGTTTAGCATTATTCAGTTGGTACAATCTGATTGGTTGAGAAATGTTCTACCTGTGTTTTTATTTGTGATAACAGAATGTTTTTTCACAATAACTCATATCATTATCACCCTGAGCACTGGTTGTAAAGTAAGGACTCACACACACAAACACACACATTTTCTAAGCCGCTTATCCTCCTGGGTCATGGGGGCTGGATCTTATCCCAGTGTTAATTGGGCAGAATGCAGGAAACACCCTGGACAGGTCGCCAGTCCATCACAGGCCAGACAGACACATCCGATAACATTAAAACAAGATAACATTTGATCTGCAGCCAGTTTGGTCAGATTAGATAGGTAGATAGATCACTTAATTGTGTTAATCGCAGAAGGAAAGTCGTCAGCAGCACAAAGTTCAGTACAGAGCAAAACGGGAGCAAAACTATTGTCATCAGATGTTCATATTCATCAGATATATCAGCTCACTTTTACCCTATTTATCAATATTATAACTGCTTATTAATGATTTTTATAGTGTTTATGACGTAATTAATAACCATTAACAAACAAATTTTAAACCATTTATGAACACTCTATGCGGGCAGCCTTATTCTAAAGTGTGTTATGTTAGCGTTGCTGCTCATCGGTGACAGGAGCCTAATTTTATAAAACATTTAGACCTGGAATTCCTGACTGTAAGGCAGCAAATAAAAGTTAAGCACTTTGTCTAACAACAAACTGTTAAACATCGCTCACTAGAACAGTAGAACGTATTAGAAAATCAACCACAGTTAAGACTGTGAGGCAAAGTGGAGCATTCCCAAAGTGAGAGACCTCAAATGAAGTTGTGTGTAAGTTTTTGATTTTTAATAATTTAATTTCCAGTTATGATGTCATGTTCTCCCTTTGTGTTCTCCTTTAATCTATTTGCCTTTGTGTTTTCATCTTTTGTTCACTGTTGTGTTGTGACACTGTGAATTTACTACTTAGTTCAACAGTGCACTCGGTGCTCCATGAGGGCAGCATTAGAGTCAAAGATTAGTTCATTAACAGCAGAAGGGTTTTTCTTGACGTGGCGCAGTGATACAGAGTTCAGTTGCTGTGACACGGCTTCAAACACAGAGCAGCCAATCAGACTTTAGGACCGGAACTATCCATTTTATAATGTGAAATTCAAGATAAACTCTACACTTGCCAAGTCAGAGCTGTTCACAGTGGTGCTGATAGGAACCAGACATCTGAAGCATTTTATGGGTTTAAAAGCTGTTACATCATTACATGGTGATGATTATACTGTCTGATGCCCTTTATGGTAGTTTTGAAATAATATTTTGGCGTTTGATATTGCTTTTTAATCTGTTCATGGTTGAGAGATGCATGCTGGGTGTTGTAAGGCAGAGAAAACAGATTTACTGCTCTTTCACCATCATCAACATTCCATATAAACTCAGAAGACTCGTGTAGGTTCACTGGTGGTTCTGGACAGTAAATAAAATGTCTATATTTATGTTGAAGTCACGGTGACCCCTGGTTCCTATCACCACCACTGTAAAGACATCCAGGTTGGTAAGTAGTTGTTTTGTATGAGGTACCATGATGGTGGGATTCTCCTTGAAATGATTGGCATGTAGTTTAGATGATGGAAGAAGCGTACTGTGTACTATGTAGTCTCTTTCTAGTATTCTAGAATTTGGCAGCTGTAGGAGACAGTCGAGTCATCTGAACGTTTTTACTTCTTACTTTGCCACAAACAGAAAATGGACACTTTTAAGATCACATTTGACCGACAGCTGATTTGGTCAGACTCTGAAGATGAGACGACACTAAATTCCCAAACTGTCATCACCACTGAGCAGCTTTTCAGTCAGCAGCTGTGACAGAAGAACAGCTGAACAACCTGGAATCAGCCAGAAATGAACCCAACACCATTCGCCAAACTAAATGGGCTGTAAGATGCTTTACAGACTGGCTGGAACAAAACAACATTAATACTGATCTGGAAAAACTGACAAAACTGAGCTGAACTTGATATTGCGGCAGTTTTATGGCTCAGTCCATACTTCAAAAGGCGGGGCTTACAGCAGACTGTGCAGCGAGTGGGCGGAGCTCGTTACTCTAACCTGCTTGTTAAGGAACTATAATTTGGTGAAGGAACTGCGAACATTAAAACATATTAAACGCCGCGCCCAGTTTATTAATTTATTACTTTATTTATTTAACTGTTGTATTAAAGCAATAGAACACTCGAGGAGTGTGTTATCGCCAATAACACACTCCCTCTTGTGTTCTATTGCTTAAATATATGTGTTACACACATGTGTGACTAAGCTGATAAATGGCTGAAATATATGTCAAAATGGAAAATGGACAATTTCAGAGAAGTTGGTGTGCCGTGTATAACAACACTACATCCGCTTGTAGGTAAAATGTGTCAGATGAAACGGGCTGTTCAATGTAAATAAATCGATAATAATTCAATTATACAATTTATTCAATTAGACTCTAAAAAAGCTCTGAGACGCGCCGAAAGGCTGTAATAAACTACGTTTCCCAGCAATCTCAGCGAGCGCGCATGCACAGCGCAGCTGTCACCATGGCCGACGACAAGTGGACGGAGTGTGTGAGAAGTCTGAAAGGAGTGATTTTAGACATGTGCGGAGTTTTGTACGACAGCGGAGAGGGAGGCGGAGCGCCGATCGAAGGCTCGGTGGAGGCGGTGAAAAGGTGAAAACCGGTCAGAGCCGCTGCTTCGAGCGGACCGGACTGACTGAGAAGCGGAGGCTGCTTGAACGCGAGGGCGCGTTCCAAACGGCACACATGCGGCCTGACTAGTGCACTTAAAAGGGAGCACACTCACGGCAGCTGCTGTAGAGCGTTCTTCTAAAACGAGTGTGGTGTTAAACGCGAAGCATGCTAAAGTAGTGTTCCAGAAAGAAGGCTGTGTCCCAAATCGAGTAGCCTGCTTTTGTAGTGTGCTAGCTAGATATGGGCTATGTGGATAAAAATATAATATGATATTTCAAGACATGTTCACAATACACAATATATTGCAATATATATTTATATTTTGTGAGACATCTGATCAGTTGGAACTGAAAAAAAGAAAAAGCAGTGCTACATTTTTATCAAAACCTGTGAATGCAATGATTTTTATTTAATATTTGTTAATCTGTGTTGCACTAAATCCAGTTAAACGAGCTAATATTGTTCCCTTTATAATGAAAACGCAGTCGGTCAGTGTTCTACAAGCACTGGACAACTAGAACCACTGAAAACTAGGGCTGAAGGATCAAACGTTTATTTATCGAAATTGCAATTACAGTGAGCACAATTTTCAAATCACAAGAGCTGCAGTTTTTCACAATTATAGGCTATATTATCAAAAACAGTCATACGTTTTAAGTGGAGAAATCTAACCTAATAACTTGTGAACAGCCTGTAGATGAGTTAGACCAATCAGAGACAACTAAGCCTTCATATGTTGTGACGTCACAACCACAACTTACTGGCAGACTGGCACATTCAGGGTTCAAGCCTCAAGCCGAAAACATAGATATTCAGGTCTTCTTGGCCAAAAAAAACAGGCCTGAACCTTAATTTATAGAGAATATTAGTATAATTTGGTATTATTATTTAAAAATATCATTTAAATTGCAGTTTCAATATTAGTCAGAAAAATTGCAATTGGTTATTTGCCCGAATCGTTTAGTGCTATGAAAACTAATTGTGGAACGTTACTGTCTGTTTGTGCTCTGCAGCCGTAGAACGCAGGCAGGTTGGAAATGTTTAAAAATAGCTGATACACCAGTCAAGGTGAACTATTTTTATAGAATTATGACTGCAGTAATGATTTTCTCAATACGTCACTTCCTGGATTCATTTGTCAAACTACCTGATATTACTTGGTATAATGTAAGGATTTTCATCATATCACTATAATCTGTAGCTACACACAAAAAAATAACTACTATAAAATAAACTATGTTAAGGACGATTTAATATCTGCTATAGCTCTGGCTCTGGTTCTGGCTCTGACTCTGGCTCTGGTTCTGGCTCTGAGTCTGGTTCTGGTTCTGATTTAACTGCAGAAACCTGGAGCCGTGCATCACTATCTGTTCCTAATAAAAACTCCACTGACAGAAATCTTATCTCAGAAATAAACAGCCCTGCCTTGTGGTTTTAAGACTGAAATGCATTGCGCTAATCGGTTAGTCTAACAACGGGCTTAAAATATGTTATATTAATAATTAAATAATAGAATATTGACACTTCAGAGTCTCATTCAGAGCAGTTTGGTGTGAAATGATCCAGTTAGAGAAACACACAGAGTCAGAACTGTTCACAGTGGTGGTGATAGGAACCAGACGTCCACCTCTAAAAGCTCCCTCACGGAAAGTTCCTACATGAAATGGTTATGAATTCACTGCCTGATGTCTGAGACACTGTGTTAGGATAGATTTGGCCTAAAACGTCTTGTTAATCCATTTATTTTAATCCATTCATGGTGGAGGGATACATGCAGGACGCTGTGAGACAAAATAGTCCCCAAAGAAATATTATTTCAGATTTTCCACTATTTTCCATCATCAACATTCCATATAAACTCAGAAGACTCGTGTAGGTTCACTGGTGGTTCTGCATAGGAAATAAAATGTCTATATCTGTGTTGTAGTCATGGCGACCCCTGGCTCCTATCACTACCACTATAAAGACATCTGAACCATTTCACACCAAACCGCTCTGAATCTCTCTGATTACATCTCACACACTTAATTATGCAGATATATGAAAAAATGGGTGGAGTTCTCCTTCAAGATGAATGGTTAGTCTCCATAGTAACTCAGTGTTTGTACTACAGGCTCAAGGCATCTGACCTGCAGCTCCGCTTCTGTACCAACGAGACTCAGGCTACTCGGGAGAAGTTTGTGGCGAAGCTCGGTCGGATGGGCTTCGAGATCGACGTCAGTGAGGTGTTCTCTCCTGCCCCGGCTGTGGTGTCCGTCCTGAAACAGCGTGACCTCCGACCCCACCTGCTGGTGCATGACGGTACGTCACACACAAAGTTAAAACATCATACACTGTGTCTGACACAATCCATCATACTGATCATGACAGAAGTTCTGATCATGTTACTTTCACCACCAAAAGTCATGTTAAATTCAAGTACTTAAATAATAATAATAATAATAATAATAATAATAATAATAATAATGATAGTAATTGAGCTGTTCATGCATACTCTGCTGCTCAAAGTGCTTCAGAAAATAAAATAATAAACAATGAATAAGAAAAAAATGAGAATTAAAGTAACATTTACAAATCTAACAATATAAAAGGAAAAGAATCTGCAAAGCACTGAGATAAGATGAAAAGAGAATGAGAAGATAAATAGAGTGTAGGATTTAAATAAGGTATATAAGGGAACACCCACCCATCATCCAAACCGCTTATCCTCTTGGGCCGCGGTGGGGCGCTGGAGCCCATACTAGCTGTTATATAAAGGAACAAAATAAT